AAAAAGTGAATGACAATAAAATAAACCTGCGAAATTAGAGGGTTAGACGGTGAGGATTTAGGAAAAGAAACAATGCCTAAATATTATTGAATTTGTGGAAATTCGTGACCAAGAACAAGCCGCGTGAATGTATGCTATATGAGCTCAAAACGGCATCCAAAAGCATGGTCGCGATGTAAGACAAAATATTCCTCTAATAAACAAAGCTTTTATACCACGCTTGTCATAATCAGAGCTTATAATTTGTAAATAAATAATTGCTGGATGCGCTGTGACTGACACTGGCAATACGTTTTCCCGGAGCATTCAATGATGTCATTAAACGGTGATGCCACAACTAAGAGCATCGTTCACGAGTTTCTGCATGGACCTAACTAGCCTAGGGCACAGGTTTTCAAGCCCTGGAACAAAATGGGATGCTTTAAGGAAAATGTATAGCCTATGTAAGCAATAGGCCTAAAATAAAAATAACAATTTGTTTTCATTAAAAAAAATATGCGAAACATATCTGACTTAAATAATTAAGCTAACAGATTTAAAACAGAAGTGTGGCGCGGCACTCCATAAACAAGTTCACGGAAAGGAAAGGATGACAACGCGCATTCTGTTTGTTTGCTTTATTTTGCAAAAGCACAAATCTTGTTTTTATTGTGAGTGTGCAAAAATAAAAGTAAACACTTTTGCCGATTATATCTTACTCCAAAAAAATTTTTTATGTTTCAGCAGTTTGATCACGCGCACGCACACACACCCCACATATTCTAGCAATTCAAACTTACATCGCAGTCTTACAACGCAATCATTTTAAATCTGACATTTTCCGGAACAGGATCCAGCAGGATCAAATTAAGCGCTTCAGGACCTGGACAACTTGCCATAGTTGACGGAACCATGAATTCTGCACTCTATCAGAAAATCCTGAAGGAGAATGTCCGGCCATCAGTTTGTGACCTCAAGCTCAAGCGCACTTGGGTTATGTAGCAGGACAATGATCCCAAACACACC